TTGTCCTGAAGTGAAAAAAATGTCAAACTGACATTTCTAAATAAGAGTTCAATAGACTACGGGGTGTCTATCTAATTCATATTTACTCCCCCATATAAACTTTTATTAATATGCTCGTAAATATCGTCAATAATGTATAAGCTTTGGCAGAATACGCCTAATGCATACAATAATTCAATAAAGGCGTGACTGAACTTGTAAACAAGGGGCGACGGCAGTTTTGAAATATGTAAAAACACATGTAACGGATTAAAACGAGCGGATCAAAATAGGGATTGGAAATTTATGCAACTTATCATTCAAATTTCTCACTTATGCATATGATTGCATTAGAAGAATCTAGCCTCACCTCAAATGCAGTTTACAAACCTAAGTCTAGTTTTTGATATAATATAGTCCGCTATGCAACATGGTTCATGAAAAGAAATTATGTACTTTGCAAAAACTTATTTTGTTCATGTTTTTTTCTATTCTAATACGACTTTTGAATTGTATTCATTTGATAACGTTTGAGATGACGCGTTGCTAATACGACCAAATGGAAATGCGCATGATTGAAAAGGGTTTACAGTTTCAATGGTTGGGGAGATTCTATTATGTAATAAAAACATCAAAAACAAAAAGAAGAACAAAAACTTAAACACAACGAATCAAAAAGCAACAAACACACACACACACACACACACACACGCACGCACGCACGCACGCACGCACGCACGCACGCACGCACGCACACACACACACACACACACACACACACAAACAACCACAACAAAAAACAACACCCCCCCCCCAAAAAAAAAAAAAAAAAAAAAAAGACTCACAACAACAACAACAAAAAACACAAAACCCAGAAAACGGAAACAAAACACAAAAACACAACAATAAAAAACATTAAAATAATACCTCCCTAAAATAAATGATAAAATAAATAATAATAAAAACAATATCCCCCCCCCCCAAAAAAAAAAAAAACAACAAAAAAACCAAAAAAACCATTACCAGAAATATGATAATAAGAAAACGTGATTTCACTTTGGTACTGCAGTTACAAAATGCAAAATACATTCAACATTTCAGATTGAGCAATTTAGACAAAAAAATTACGATGAATTGATTACAGAAAACGGAAACCAAGGTTTTGTCAATGAAAGTCATACATGTAAATATGGCATAAATCTCATTATACCTTGATTGCCAAATGAAAAGCTTAGCAAAAAACAGTCTGATAAAAAAACCCCAAACGTTTTAACTTTTCGTAGGGTGTGGTCATCTTGTTTAGAATGTCAAACAAGTTTACCAATTTCACATGCGATTCAGACTGCATAGTAATAAAGTAAAGCAAATTACTATTGCATTTGTCAGCCGAATGTAAAATTGTCAAAACCCTTGTGAAAATCCGATTCATTTTAAGTATTCATGCTTCAAATAAAGTTTGATGCTAATTCATTTATATTAGCATATTAGATTGTATATCTATAAGCAATCACCTTCCTTTGATGGGCAAACATAAGGGTGTTTCTTACATAATTATGGAGCGTGTTTGAACAAGATTCTGCACGGCGTTCGCGCCCGAGTGGTTAATGTCGCTGACTTTATATACTAACTTAACTGAAATCTTAAGCATACACTTTAAATATATCGAAATATACGGCGGCATACACTCTTAATATGTAGAAATATTTGGCAGAAACTTAATTTATTGAAATATACGGCATGCACTCTTAAAATATAGAAATCTTTGGCAGAAACATAATTAATGGAAATCTTTTGCATACACTCTTAATATATAGAAATATTTGGCAAAAACTTAAATAATGGAAATCTTTTGCATACACTCTTAATATATAGTGATCTTTGGCTTGCACATTAAATATATTGAACTATTTAGCATGTACTCTTTACATACATGCAGACGTTTTTGGCATAAAATTAGTATATGGAAATCTATGGCATACACTCTTTTATATTTATCGAAAGATTTGGCATACACTCTTAAAATATATAGATACCTTTGCATTAACTTAATATATCTAAATATTCGTCACGCGTTCCTTAAATAAAGAGACATTTTTGGCATATACTCTTAATATATGGAAATCTTTGGCATACACTCTTAATATATAGAAATCTTTGGAATACACTCGTAATACAATGTATATCGAAATATTTGGCATACACTCTTATTAAAATATCTTTGATATTAACTTAATTTTAGAAATTTTTTGACATACACTTTTTAAAAAAACATTTTGGATCACCTATAAATTTTTGTAAATCAATATCATCCCTTTGCAATACAAGTGTTGCGTACATTAAAATAACCGTATTTTTTTCAAAATTTATCGAAATAAAAACACCCGCTGAGTTTCATTTTTTGCCAAACCTTAAGGATCGCCCCAACACCGTTTGTGGGAAAAATTTATAATCACACATTTAGTAAATTTTTCAATAGATCCCAAACATCACGTTTTTTTTAATTTCCATATGATAATCAGCTTTAAACGGCATTTACATGTTAAATAAAAGACACCATATTATTTTTGGGCCCCTTTTATAAAGTTAAAGAAATATAAAATTATTTTGGAAGGGTTTTTTTTTGAAATTTTTTACTTTTTGACATTGAAACGCGGGATAAATACCCCCCTAAAGAAAAAAAAGGCAAAGCAAATTTCACAAAAAACCAAAACCCAATGGATTTCCAGGAGAAAATTTAAAATTTTCGGCAACCGTCTTTAATCTTTATTTCCCTGAAAATTAATAGGGAAGGGGCAAAATATAATAAAATTTTTCACAAGTCATTTAAAATTAAAATTTAAAATCGGGATCTCATGGCCAAATTTAAAATATAAAAGTTATGACATTTTTAACATTTAAAAAAAAATGATAGTTTTAAGATAAAAGAAGGGGAAATTTGCCCAAAAAACAAAATGTAAGATAGTCAAGGCCCATTTTAAATAGAATTTTTCAAGTTTTAAAAATCATAAATTTTCGTTTAACAAAATTTTAATTTAAATTTTACAAAAGGGTATTTTTTTACTACAAAAAATACATAAAAAAGTATCAGTCATTTTACAGATTGTTAATTTTTTTGTTTTTGAAAACTTAAAAATAACAAATTCTGCAAATTTTAATTTCGGCCGAGTATTTTTTAAAAAACTTCTTTTTTTAAACGGGAAATTGCTTTTTGAATTTTGCAATCACATTTGCAATTTGGTTTAAGGGTTTTCATTAAAAAAGGACATGGTCAACAGTATTTAAAATGGCAAAAGATTGGCGATCTTTTTTACGAAATAGATTTAAAAAAGAAATAGTGAAAGAATTTTTCCGACGCAAAACTCACAGTTTTTTCTTTTCATTCGACTTTTATTCAAAATTTTGCGAAAGATTTTTTTTCAATTAAGAAATTAATAAAAAGCCCATGATTTTTTAGAATCAGTGAAGTTCCAAACAACACGATTTTTTCTAAAACCTCCTTTTTTTCATTCCCCCTTAAAATTATCCTTCAGTAATTGGTTTAAAAATTCAAAATCCTTAAAATTGTTTTTTAATCTAGAATATGGAAATTTTAATGATTTAGGTACTCGTTTTAAAAAAAAAAACTATTTTTAAGGGTCTTACGGGGAAAGTTAGAGTTGAACAACATAAAAGAACGTGGAATCATTTTTAAAAAATCTACTTAAAAAAATTATATTCTAACGTTTAAAGTAAACCCCCCAAACTACCCCGGGCTCAGATTAGAGATTTTTCTTCATGAACCAAGCTATAATCTGAATCCCACCCGGCAGAAATTTTGGAAAGCCTTTCATTTTTTTGTTACGAATGAATAAGAAGGAGAAAGTATTAAAAAAAGCAATGTTAAAAAAACCGTACACCCTGACATTTTAGGCGTAATGGGGGTGTTTAGGCAGGGTCAACGTTAGAGGTGACTACTTTTTACCTTCGCGGAAACAAAACTCTTGACAGCAAATATAGAGGTTTTTTCAACAAAAAAAGTTTAGAAGAATTAAAATCTTTTGTAAACACAAGAAAACTACCAAAGGTATGTAAATGATTTTAAATTTTTAATTTTAAAAATAAACAATTTATTTTTTTGGGAAAAAATTTTCAAAATTAAAAATAAAAATAAACTAAAGGGGAAGCAGGGTGGATTGACCATTTTTAAAATTAAAAAAGATTTTTTTAAACATAAAAATTAAATTTAAAACAAAACAAATAACAAAAAAAATGAAATAATTACACCCCAAAAACCCCAAAAATAAAACCCTTTTCATGTAAATTTTTTCAATTTAAAAGACAATACGTTCTACAAGGATTTTTTGGGTAACCCAAAATACAATTTCCCAATAACTTTAATATTTTTCTTGATTGTTCATTACGTTCCAAAGATCGACATGGGACTTTGATACACTCCGGGAAACTGGGGAATAAACGACTTTTTTGTTTTAGCATTTAGCGGTTTTGGACCATGAACACCCAAAAATTTCCAACCCTTCTATAGTTTTTAAAAAAACTTTTATCACAAGCCCTTTTGGGAAATCAAGAGCGCTTTTCTTAAATCCACCTTTAAAAAGAAAAATTCAAATTAAAAATTTTAAGATTTCTCTAAAAATACTGAACAAAAGGTTTTAAACTAAGAAAAATTTATACTTTGTTTAAAAGATTAAAACACCGCAGTCATAGGGTTCCCATTTTCCCCGGTTTCCAATTTTCCCCAAATTTTTACGGGAAATTTTATTAATTTTTTTACGAAAATTTTTCGATTAAATTATACAATGAGATACATAAGCCCTTTTTTCTTTAATGACAACGCTTTAAATCCCCCATTAACGTAGTTCGGATTCCCCCGATTTTTTGTAAAAGGAATAATACGGTTACTTTTTCGTAGTATTCCATTTAAAACATACCGCCATTGGGGTGTTTCCACCATGTTCCAAATCTCAAACAAGGGGGTTCAACACAAAAAACCCAAAAATTGACCCGGGGGTCGCACAACCCACTTTCAAAACCCATCTACCATGGAAAAGCACACTCGGGTTTGCACTTAATTTTCGACCAAACGTCAAATTGCAATTCTTGTACTGGCACTTATCAAATCCACAATTTATGGCATCTGGTCTGTTCCTTAGATATGGAGGTGGGTTGTACCAATTTATGACATGTAGTTTCTTTGCTGATTGGGTGTTCTTTAGTAGTACATGCACGGGCTTCTTAGGAACGACAAACGGATTAAACGCTTGTGGCTTTTTTGTTGTTGTAATCAATTTGAACTGATCTTGTAGACCTTCCTGTAAAAATAGAAGATAAACATGAATACATGTTATAGCATTCCCTGAGTTAAGCTCAGTGTAACCTTTAATTAATGGGCTTTTTACCTATGATGTCTTTACAAAAGTCATTAAATATGGCGCCAGTTTTAACCTTACATAATATTATATAACATAATAATTTCAAAATATTTTAGAAAAAGTATGATCAAACAATGCATTACTTCCTTCTTTTATAATTATGTAACTGAAGAGGTACTTGTAGCTCAAGAGGTACTTGTAGATGCTATGCGCTTTATTTTCATGTATATTCACACATTATTTATGAATAAGAAAAATAATTAAAATAATAGAAATAATAAAAAAACGTATATAAATATAAGATAAATAAATATATAAATATAACATAAATACTCGTAAATAAATAAATAAATAAATAAATAAATAAATAAATAAATAAATAAATAAATAAATAAATAAATAAATAAATAAATAAATATATTTTGTTGATTATCTGTCATATTTCTAAAGAGCTTAAATAAATGAAAAATTATTTAGTTTCTAAGCAAATCAGCATGATGTATAAATTTATATAAGTTTTGCATAATTTTCCGGTTATTTTAACTTAATTAATGGTAAGAATTGTTGTAATTTAAAACGCATTGATTTAGAAATTTTCAAGTTATCATATAATATATTATATATATATATATATATATATATATATATATATACTATATAATATATATATATTATATGAATGATACTCGTCTTCAATACCATGTAAATCACAAAATATACGCGTACAGTATTTTGCTTTTTTATAAATTATTTTGAAACATAACGTTTGTTGTAATGATTTTTATTATAAGTCAATGTATTTGTATATTTATATTATATGTTTTTCACTTACATCTGTACAGTATTTTGTTTTTCTATATGTAACACCATTACATATGTTATCATGATATATATAAGTCAATGTACTTGTATGTTTATATATTTCACTTACATACTTGTATGTTTATGTATTTCACATACATACGTGTATGTTTATGTATTTCACTTACATACTTGTATGTATATGTATTTCACTTGCATACTTGTATGTTTATGTATTTCACTTACATACTTGTATGTATATGTATTTCACTTACATACTTGTATGTTTATGTATTTCACTTACATACTTGTATGTTAATGTATTTCACTTACATACTTGCATGTTTATGTATTTCACTTACAATATTGCATGTTTATGTATTTCACTTACATACTTGCATGTTTATGTATTTCACTTACATACTTGCATGTTTATGTATTTCACTTACATTTTCAATCTCCTCCATTATAAGCTGAGATCTTCTATCCAATGATGAACTTATCATTACCGTGCCCACCAAAACCGTTAATACTAGCATCCATATAGCTGCAAATATACAAAATGCCGTGTTAGTTTATGCACAAGATCGAGCTGCAAAAATATAACATTTTTTCGAAGAATTATAAATCAAGACCGTGGACGAGCATATAACCCCAAACGATTTTGAAACAATAGCACTCGAAAGAAAAACAAACGGGAGCACCTTTGTCCATACAGTTTTACATTTCACTTATAGTTTTAATTGAAAGAATGTAGTTAACAAAGTTTATACAGACTCTTTTAAAAGCCCATTAAGCGCCAAAATACTATCATATTTGATTCTTAAAGGCTGTTTTTGTATCTTGTTACATTTCCAAAATTGAAAAAAAATGCTTATGATAAATGATCTTTATTATACTAATCAGTATTTTTAAAGTGATTAAGTATTTTGTGTGGAATTCCAAACACTCTTTTGTTTACATTTTGCAATCTTTTCGACTCATTACTTCACGTTCAACACTATTTTCTTTAACTGTGTTCTATATTTATTCTTAAATTAGAAAATTTTGAGTGCATTGTTATAGAATAGTACACGTTTCGAGTTCAGCTGCGCAGGAATATCGTTTTTTTTGTGATTTGTGATTAATTATAAATAGTGCATTTGATTGACCTATCTGTTTGTGTATTATTGTATGTAATGACGATGAGCTGTATAATAAAATTTCTGTTCTGTTCTGTTAAGCGAGTAGTGTGAAGCGTGTTAGAAAAATTATTTAACGCATCTTTGACCTTTCTAAAGAATTAAACATATTGTTGACTTCTGAGGCATAGTAGAAATTATGTCTTTTCAAGTAAATTGTGATGTATCAATATTGAAAAAAAAGACAACAACAATAAAACCGAACAAAACAAAACAAAATTTATCTAAACAATTAAATGAACAAAAACAAAGCAAATATTCCTCAAAACATGCTTAGCTCATAGTTCTAATATTAGATATCAAACAAAAAGGAACTGTGTGACCTTATTTACAAACAAAAACAAAACAAAAAATCCTCAAAACATGTTTTCCTCATAGTTCTAATATTAGATATCAGACAAAAAGGAAAAGTATAAACTAATGTTTCTACTTACTTGACTGCAAAGAATGTCTGTTGCACAAATGAACTCCAAGACCACAAAGTGAGACCATCTTGTTACGGATCTTTCTTGCTATCATCTTCATGCTCAAGGCAATTATTCCCTTATTATACATTCTTTTGAAAGAAACGTGTTCCTTGGTTTTCATTTCATATTCAAAACTATTCAAATCACCCGCTGACTTACATAAAATCCTTAGTTGTTTCCATGAAAAACCATCATAACAAACAGCATCTCGTAAATCCACTATACAAAACAATCCAATTTTAGAAAACTATAGTTATAATAGAATTAAAATATTTAAAAATGAAAATTGCTGTCAAAATTTTGTATGTTTTGAAAGTTTCGTCATAGTTTCGGTTTGCAAAATTTGATGTACAAATAGATTCAGTGAATGATCATCTATAATGGGTTTCATTTTAAATCAGTTTTTCATCGTGAGTATTAAAGGTATTTGAAAATTTTAATAAGACACACACTGGTGTAAGCCTTTCAGTTTTGGATGCGGTAAGGTTGAACGAATGAATACATCAGCCCGGGTGATCGGTATATTTCGTTAAAGTCATTGACGGTTGGTTAAAGTTTGTTATATATATATATATATATTTGCATACATGTGGTGATAAACTTGGCCAAGTATTTGATCAGTAACAGTGATATTGAACGAAATCGGAAGTGCTATTCTATCCTTTAAATTAATATATTTATTTCTAAAAATAGAACATGAGCTTGGTCATGTAAGGGTTACTATTATAATTATAATTTTAATTATGAAACATTGTTATTTTGACTATTATTGTAATTTGTAAAACAATTGCAATTTTTTAAATTATTATTAATTATCTACTACACAAACTTTTCAATCTCAACCCCTCTTTTTCAAGGAGTTTCCGTTTATCATTATATAAATCACATATTTGTCTTATTATCTTAAAATAAATTATCAAAAAGTTATTGAAAATTTTGTGTAGTAGATAATTATTAACTAACTGTTTCCAGACTGAGTTTGATTTTAGTTGTTGTTGTGTGTCCGCATGTGTTTAAGGCTTGTTTAATAAGCGTGTTAGATTTTTACAGACAATTTGACTAGTTTTGAAATAGTTTTTTCCAGACTAAATTAGTAATTAAGGAATATGTATGAATATATAATTAATTAATGGATATATGGCATACTCGCCTGGACAAGTTTCTGTTTAATAAATGCATTTATTATATACTTATAGATGAAATATTGTGATATATTGATGAAATAAAATGCTTATTTTCATTTTCCAAATTTTCACTGTAAAAATTTATTTTTCACTGCAGTGAAACATATTTTCCGTATTTTCACTGCTGTCTTGAGGGACTACTTTCTTTTAAATTCTGCCAGTACACAACACTAAGGGAAAGTCTTTCAAATGCATTTAATTGTAATGTCAAAAAAAGAGGAAAATGTATATAATAAACAGAAAATTCAAGTTTTTTCTGTAAACACATGATTTATTTTCATCTTGTGGCATGAAAATTACCATATTTTACTTGTGGCTACCGCCACTCATGAAATATTTATTTTCATTCCACTTGATGAAAATAAATCATGTATTTACAGAAAAAACTTGAATATCCTCTATATATCACATAATCGTCTTCGCAAATAGTGCATCAAGAGACATGCGTATGTCATAAAGAACAAAATACAATATTTCATGCGCACATGTAGTAAATATATAGAACACATCGCCATTCGCGCGTTCTTTGTTTCTCCACTGTTTATACGGAAATTTTAGCCAATCAAAGTTCGGGAAAATTATTTGAATTATTGGAATAATGAATATATGGAAAACCCGCTATCATATAAAGAATGAATATTTATGAATATATCACAAACTCGCACTAGCATATGTTTATGATATGTAAATGAATATCTGATATATTTGCCTTCACGAATATATGATTTATTTGCCCCCCACGGATATATGATATATTTATGAATATATGACATACTCGCCTTCACAAATTAATGTCATATATATGATATATTTGTTTTCAAGAATATATGATATATTTTCCTTCTCGAATATATGATATATTTGCCTTCACGAATATATGATATATTTGCCTTCACGAATGTATGAAATATTTGCCCTCACGAATATATGATATATTTATGAATATATGACATACTCGCCTTCACAAATTTATGACATATCTCCCTCCACGGATAAATGATATATTTGCCTTCAAGAATATATGATATATTTGCCTTCTCGAATATATTGTATATTTGCCTTCAAAAATATATGATATATTTACCTTCACGAATATATAATATATTTGCCTTAAAGAACATATTTTATATTTGTCTTCACGAATTTATGATATATTGGTCCTCACGAATATATGATATATTTGCCTTCACGAATATATGATAAATTTACCTTTACGAATTTATAATATACTTGCCTTAAAGAACATATCTTATATTTGTCTTCACGAATATATGATATATTTGCCCTCAAGAATATAATATATTTGCCTTAAAGAATATATTTTATATATGCCTTCACGAATTTATGATATATTTACCTTCACGAATATATGATAAATTTACCTTTACGAATATATAATATACTTGCCTTAAAGAACATATCTTATATTTGTCTTCACGAATATATGATATATTTGCCCTCACGAATATATGATATATTTGCCCTCACGAATATATGATATATTTGCATTCAAGAATATAATATATTTGCCTCAAAAAATATTTAATATATGACTTCAAGAATATATGATATATTGGTTTACGAATTTATGATATATTTGCCCTCACGAATATATGATATATTTGCCCTCATGAATATATGATATATTTGCCCTCACGAATATATGATATATTTGCACTCAAGAATATAATATATTTGCCTTAAAAAATATTTAATATATGACTTCAAGAATATATGATATATTGGTTTACGAATATATGATATATTTGCCCTCACGAATATATGATGTATTTGCCCCTCACGAATATATGATATATTTGACCTCACGAATATATGATATATTTGCCATCACGAATATATCGTATATTTGCCTTCACAAATATATGATATATTGGTCGTCACGAATCTATGATATACCTTTGCCTTCACGAAAATAAAATATATTTTCATTCTTAAATATATGATATATTTGGCTTCATGATATATTTATGAATATGTTACATGCTTGTTGCACAAATATATGACATATAAAAAATATATATTGCATATTTGCCTTCAAAAATATGTGATATATCCATGAATATATTGCATTTTTCCCTTCACAAATATATGACATATTAATAAATATATTGCATATTTGCCTTCAAAAATATGTGATATATCCATGAATATATTGCATTTTTCCCTTCACAAATATATGACATATTAATAAATATATTGCATATTTGCCTTCACAAATATATGACATATCAAATGAATATTTTGCATATTCGCATTCACAAATATATGACAAATCAAATGAATATGCATATCTGCCTTCACAGATGTATGGCATATCAATGATTATATTGCATATTTGCCTTCAAAAAATTTATGACATATCAAATGAATATATTGCATATTTGCCTTCACAAAAATATGACATATCAATGATTATTTTAAATATTTGCCTTCAAAAATATATGCATATCAATGAATATACTGCATATTTCCCTTCACTAATATATGACATATTAATTAATATATTGCATATTTGCCTTCACAAATATATGACATATCAAATGAATAAAATGCATATTTGCCTTCACAGTTGAATGGCATATTAATAAAAACATATTGCTTATTTGCTTTTACACATATAAGACTAATCATATGAATATATTGCATATTTGTTTTCAGGAATATATGATATATTAATGAATATATGACAAACTCGTCTTCACAAATATATGACATATTAATCAATATATGACAAATTCGCCTTCACAAATATATAACACATTAATTGCCTTCCTTTTAGAGTTATATATGCATGTAGGTAGGTTGATATGTAAATAAGTTTCTTTTTAACTCTACATTAAGAATTTCAGCGTAAAAGTATTCAATATCTCTACGTGTCATAATTTTTGTAATGACCCATAGATATTCAAATCTCCATCCTAAATTATTGATATGGAGAAGAGATTATTTATGCTCTGCCGATCGTAAAATTTGTGTGTAGTTTTCAGTTAGACCTATTTATATTTTCAAGTCAATGCATTTAAATAGGCTTTTATTTTCCTATAGTGTCCTATATATAACTGAAACAGAATTTTCGGAAAAATTGATATATAATAACAATTGGCAAAAGTGTTTTTTATTATATCTATATTAATACATTGTCCAGAATATTTCATTTAACAAAATTATATAAATTTGTGTTATATAAATACATGTTAATTTTTTTCATGAAAAAAGACATGAAATCTGGTGGTATACTGTTCTAAGGTTTATATGAGCCGCGTCATGATAAAACCAACATAATGGGTTTGCGACCAGCATGGATCCAGACCAGCCTGCGCATCCGCGCAGTCTGATCAGGATCCATGCTGTTCGCTTACAAACCCTATAGCAAGTAGAGAAACTGATAGCGAACAGCATGGATCCTGATCAGACTGCGCGGCTGCGCAGGCTGGTCTGGATCCATGCTGGTCGCAAACCCATTATGTTGGTTTTGTCGTGACGCGGCTCATATATATATGCGTATATCAATTACAATCCAGAAAAAAATAGAATGTCGAATGTAAGAGAAGACTAAGAAGGATTGGATGAACATAATACTATTTTGTAACAGCAAAGCGATTGTGTAAAAATAAATTTAAAGTCTACTGTATGTTAAACTCCCCAAAATACCTGTGTTTGTTTGTTTTTTTTTAATATTTTTAATGCAAAACAAAATTGATAATATAAGATACGCCCTTATAGTTGCGCATTAGAAAAGTCGCCGCTTTTCTTACATGCAATTTGGTAATATGTTAATCCGTATCCACTTTATTTTAAACATGCATTGCAATTGATCAGGTTTCTTACGAAGGGCCCGTGGTGACATTTCAATTTTTTGAATTCTCGGATTCATCTTTACAAATTCACAATTTCAACTTCAAGAATTACGATTTCAGCATACAGAATTCACGATTTCAATTTCACGAATCCACGATTTCAACTTCAAAAATTCAGCTTCATTAATTCACGGTTTGAACATCACGATTTCACGATTTTAAGTTCGTGAATTCACGGTTTCAACTTCGTTGAGATGAAGTCTTGAATTCGTGAAATTGAATTCCTGTAGTTGAAATCGTGAAGTTGCAAACTTGAATTCATCAAGTTAAAATTGTGAATTCATGAATTCGAAATCGTGAATTCACGAAGATGAAAACTTGACGTTCAAAACGTGAAATCGCGGATTTACATTCGTGAAGTTCAAATGGTGAATTCTTAAAATTCAGAAGGTAAATTCGTATATTTTCGTTTGTGTGAAAT